CACATTATCGGTTTTAGATATTGAAATGGGGAAATGCTCCGATTCGTATAATTGTTGCTCTTCGTTGTTTGAAGTTATATCAAAAATTTTATTAAAACTATATTTATTACGGCGTTTTAAAAAAGTTTTGGTACGACTTTATTAATCTTTCCACATTTCTTTTAATAGACCTTAAGGTTAGTGTTTTAAAATTGAGTTTCTTCCACAATACTGAAAGTTCACTAACGATAATTTGTGTTCTTCTTTTCTTACACTTTATTTCCTTTCCAAGGCTATTAAATCTTCCAATAACAAATTTTTCTTTGGGCTTTTTTCGAACAATGGAATGTCCACATTTTTTATACATTGTGTTTTGCTAGCTAAATTTTCTTTCCACGTATTACAATACTTTTCAACATTTTTAGCACTTGTCTTAAACATTTTTACACAAACAATATTTAATTATCCCGATAAAAACAGATTTGAAATATTTATTTCAATTTCTAAATTGAATGATAAAACAAATGTGCTTAAGATCACACAACTGAAGTAAAACTTTGTTTCGTCATCTAACGGGAAATCATTCAACTATCGTAATCTTTCTTTTATCATTCTTGCATAGAGAACATTAAATAAAAGAGAAGAAGTATGTAACTACGCTCTCGTCTCGTCAGATGTAAAGACATTGTCGCGCGCACAGCTGTGTTATTATTATTTGACTATGCGAGTTCTTGAATAAATTGCTTTTTCTTTTTTAAATTTTTTAATATTGAATCAGAATTTTCTGAAAAAAAAATTAGTTTGGGGTGGGTGGGGCACTTCCCTTAGGTCCATTAAAAGGCGTTTGGAATAATAGGAAGATTATTAGTTAAATAAATATCTATTATTATGAAGAAAAACGTGTACACTGTACAAAACTTTTTTTGTTTTTTCAGCAGTTCTGATAAAAAAGTAATTTCGTTTTGCGCGGAAACTTTTTTGCAATTTCGCAAAAAAAAAATAATGGGGGTTCATACTTTTTTATGCTCTATTCGACTATGGTATGCCGTTTTTCGTATTTGCAAAAATTGTAAAAAGTTATATGCCTAATGTACATGTGCATATGTATGTGTCCGTGTACAGTGATTTTAACAATATAAACAACGTTTTTCTTTTGGTAAATCCTTTTCGTTAATTTTGTATGAGAGTATTCATAGTTCAATCTATAACCAAAACAATTAGGTGGTTCACGAGGTGTCGTAAGTGTCGTATTGTCGTACATCGTAAAGTTTTTAACGGCTAAATAAATGTCTAGGGTTCTGTATTAAATATGTGATTTTCTCAAGGTATATGTTCTTGCTAAATAGTTTTTCAAATTATTTCGCACACATTTTGGGTCAATATTGCCCTCAGAAATTATTTCGAATGAATATTGATCACGCGGCTGCTGAAATTCGACATCATTTTCAACATTTTGAGCCCAGGAATCCAAGAAAATTTATTTTTTGTTGTTCAGCGAAGTTGTGCAAAACCGCACAAGCCAACACAACCGAAGGTACAAAATTGGGATCAACATCAATGCGTTTCGATAAGCACCTCCATCTACCCTTAAGCCTTCCAAAAGCGTTCTCTACAACAATGCGTCCTGAACTTAAATTACAATTAAAAGATTCCTCCTCAGGGCTTAAATTTCCAGTAAAAGGTTTTATAAGCCATGGTAGTAGTGGATATGCGGGGTCTCCAACTAACAGGAGCGGAATTTCTATGCCTTTAATTGTGGTGGAGTATTGAGGAATTAGTTGTGCGGAGTTTCTGAAAAGACCGGACTCCTTAAAAACAGTCGCGTCATGTGCACTTCCAGGAAGTTTGACACTAATATCCCGGAACCTGGAAAAGCGGAAAGTTATTTGGATCCTTTGTCAAAACCGTTAACCTTACATGTATTTATGATCCACAACAGCTTGCATCACAATAGATGGCCAACCCTTTCTGTTTACGTAGTCTAAATAGCCTTCACTGGGTGGTAAAACTGGAATATGTGTACCTACAAAGTAAAAGTTGGGGGTTTCTATTATTAACCGTTGCTTTTTTCGCAACTCTTTGCTTGACTTTTGTGTTGAAAACTATTCTATAGTATGTTTACATGAGTACACATGATAGTTATATTTGCATATTTATTACAATTAAACATACAACATACCGTCAATCGCTCCGATTATATTTGGA